TTAGCAGTTGTTTCCCAAATGCCTCTGGATTTGTGGATTTGTGATGAGGTCACAGATGAGGTTTTCTTATGATGACTCTTCCATGCAGATCATGTTAGAACTGTGCACCACTCCTGTGTCAGCTGAAGCTTTCTGCAGATTCTTTGCCGTCATATGGGGGTTTTGCTTTGCCTTTTTGGCCAGTATATGAGCAACTCTATCTGAGAGTTTTCTTTATTCCTTCATCTTCCAGATCTTGCCTTAGGCTACACTATGTGATTTTAACTCTGATTTGCCACTTGCGACAAATTTTCACATTCTTTAGCAATTTTGCAGGTCGGCAGCTCGATCAGAAGCGACTGACGCTGCTTTGATCTGGTAGAGTCAGAAGAGAAACAAGTGAATCTTTAGCCCTCCAATCGACCTCTGAAGTGATCAGAGACCCTCCGATATTATCCAGCATGTTTGATATTTACGACTCAAAACATTCACGAGTCCTGCAGTGTGAGAAGGTCAGAGATTTACTCAACGAGTGATTCAAAGAACAGCCAATCAGAGAGCTAGAAGAGCGGAGAAACAGACGAAGAGATGAGCTAGAACAGCGCCTGAACAGCGGAGCGGCGACAGAGGAGCCGAGTGTAAAACACAGGCAGATAAGAACCGTTAGGATGTTTATCTAGTCTCTTACCCTGTCGTCCAGTGTGAGCGACCTCATGACAAAAAGACAAGAAATTCTGACGTTAAGTTTGTGATGCTCTCCGTTTTAGAAATCTGTTGAGATTTTAAAAGTAGTGTAGTGAACACCCAGTCTAAGGCTACGTTTACACAGCAGGTAAAAGTGGCCCAAATCTGATTTTCTCACCAAATCTGATTTTTTTGTTTGGCTGTTTACATTATCTTTTAAATGTGACCTGCATGTGACATTAGTCTGAACAGATCAGCTCATAAACCGACCCATCTGTGCAAAAGAACAATGCTTCATCCAAGGGTAAACAATCATGACGGCCAGCGAACGCCAGTCGCTCCCGGAGCTTTCAGTTTCGACTTCGCCAGCATCACAGGAGCGATTGTAAAGTTCCAGTGGTTGACAGCTGGACTCATCACCCAGAATGTGTTCGAGTTCACCGTGAAAAGGGCACAGTTTTCGCCACGGGCACTTCTTTGGTTTGTGTTCTCGGATTCTTTAAACTTTTTTTGACGCTGCAGCCTCGGTCTCCTCCGGCCGCGCTCGGCCGTTTCATTCGAAACCTCTTCAAACACGGAGCGGCTGTGATGAGTCTCTTCTAATTTTTTGTTACAGAAACATCAGCCTAAGTGTTTATGAGTCTCAGCAGCACGAAATGATGACTGATATCGAGTTGGACTGACGTAAAAGTCGCATGAATTCCGAACTGGCTGTTCAGACTGAGTCGCATTGCTGCAGATCGGATACGTGTCGGATTTCAGTACCACATATGAAAGCGTCTCAAATCGGAATCGAAATGGTCAGATTCAGTGCATTTTTTGCTCTTCACACTGACACACAGACGCGCATCTGGGTCACATATGAGGAAAACGATCGGATTTGGGCCACTTTTACCTGCTGTGTAAACGTAGCCTTAGTTGCTATTTCTTAAAGACATCGTAGGCAGTGAAAATTGCGAACTGGAAGCACTTATAGACTTTCATTGCTTTGTAGGCATCAGTTAGCTTCATTTTCAGATCCTCAGCCAGCTGGTTAGAAGAGCCCAGGGTTTTAGAGTGTTAGCGAAAGTTTGAAGAGTCAGAGAATTGATTCCATGTATGGACATGTTGTAGCATTGAAACTGCAAACAGTCTGCAAACTCTCACAGAGCAGCACGTGCTCTTCAGCATGCGGAGGGGTTTCAGTGTGCACTCTTAGTAAACCTAGCAGTGCAGAATGGAGGATTGGGCCGCAGCCCATGTGCTTCCTGTGTGAACAGAGCAGCCCTTCTTCCCTCAGCACAAAGCATGCTGGGTAGGCCGCACAGAACACACACTGTGTGCTCTGTTAGGGAAGGAAATGTAGCTGAATGCTGATTGGTCCATGCACACAGGTGGCCATCGCAGGCCAGTCAAAGAGCACTTGTGCATGTGCGGGTGTGTGTGTGTGTGTGTGTGTGTGTTTGTTTTTATACATTTTCAGGACAAAAATGCTCCTGCCTTCACAGTAAAACCAGAGAAAGCAAGCCCAACCTACTGCACTCACAAAAGACTCCCTGTTTCATTTTTTGAAACTTTTTGTCGGTTCCTGAGGTTAAGATTAGGTTTAGGCTTTGGGAATTTCCATTACATATAGATTCTTACATATGCAGTGCTGTGCAGAAATGTCAGAGATCACCCTTCTTTTATTTAATTACCGTTAAAAACAGCCCTTAAGTACAAGTTACTGATTTTTTTTAATGTCAAGAAAAAACAAAAAAGTTTTTCAACAGAAATTTACACAGAAGCCTCAACAACTAAATATATCACCTCTTTAGTATTTAATATGTTACCATCCCACTGACAAACACATTCAGGTTGAGGTCTGGACTCTGGGGTGGTCAGTCCATCGTTCAGCTTCTTTGTTTGATGTGTCCGTCTCCTTTTCTCAGTGAGGTTCTTCTTGAACAGCTACACATCCTTTCAGACCCACAGCGCTGAGTCGTCTTCTCACAGTGGAAGGATGGACAGAAACACCTGTGGATGCTTTCAGATCTGAAGCAGCTTGATTTTCTCCTCTCTCTCAGAGATGAAAGCTTTAGGTGCTGTTTATCTGATGGGGGCAGTTTTGGTGTCTACCAGGTCTTCCAGGTGGTCGTTAGGAGCCCAATTTTCTCTGTGGCTTTTAATCGTTTTTTGAACATTTTTTGGAAACGAATGAATGTGGAAATAACAGAATGTGGAGAATGATGATGAAAGGACAGCTTTAGAGTCAGAACAGTCTGGTGTGATGTCTTTATTGTGGAACTGAAATGTTTATCCATCAAGCCTGGGGTGTGTCAGAAACACACACACTCACACACACTATGAGGGTTTTGGGCATGAGTGTGTGTGTGTGTGTGTGTGTGTGTGTGTGTGTGAAGCAGTCTGGCAGAGTGTTGCTCTGGCTTCCTTCACTCCCCCAGTGCATTCATCTGAACCAGGCAGCTGGCAGCTCCTATCAGGCTTCAGCCATGAGGAGAGTCTGCAGGACAGACTGTGTTTTGTGATTTATTGCATACAACTCTACCTGTTTACTGCACTCTCACTGTTTCTGCCCTCACTGCAGAACACCTGCTTACAGCCACATACGCCTCAACTTCTCTTCTCTTCTCTTCTCTTCTCTTCTCTTCTCTTCTCTTCTCCTTTTTGTCTTCTCTTTCTCTTCTTTTCTCTTCTCTTCTCTTCTCTTCTCCTTTTTGTCTTCTCTTTCTCTTCTCTTCTCTTCTCTTCTGTTCTGTTCTGTTCTCTTCTCTTCTCCTTTTTGTCTTCTCTTTCTCTTCTCTTCTCTTCTCCTTTTTGTCTTCTCTTTCTCTTCTCTTTTGTTCTCCTTTTTGTCTTCTCTTCTCTTTCTCTTCTCTTCTGTTCTCCTTTTTGTCTTCTCTTCTCTTTCTCTTCTCTTCTCTTCTCTTAGGTTCTCAATTTTTCTCCCACTTCTCTTCTCTTTTCTCTTCTTTCTTCTCTTCTCCTTTTTGTCTTCTCTTTCTCTTCTCTCTCTTCTCCTTTTTGTCTTCTCTTTCTCTTCTCTTCTGTTCTCCTTTTTGTCTTCTCTTCTCTTTCTCTTCTCTTCTCTTCTCTTCTCTTCTCTTCTCTTCTCTTCTCTTAGGTTCTCAATTTTTCTCACCACTTCTCTTCTCCTTTTCTCTTCTCTTCTCTTCTCTTCTCCTTTTTGTCTTCTCTTTCTCTTCTCTTCTCTTCTCTTCTCTACTCTTCTCCTTTTTGTCTTCTCTTTCTCTTCTCTTCTCTTCTCCTTTTTGTCTTCTCTTTCTCTCCTCTTTTGTTCTCCTTTTTGTCTTCTCTTCTCTTTCTCTTCTCGTTTGTTCTCCTTTTTGTCTTCTCTTCTCTTTGTCTTCTCATCTCTTCTCCTTTTTGTCTTCTCTTCTCTTTCTCTTCTCTTCTCTTCTCTTCTCTTAGGTTCTCAATTTTTCTCACCACTTCTCTTCTCCTTTTCTCTTGTCTTTCCCTTTTTCTTCTCTTCTCATCTCTTCTCTTCTCTTCTATTTTCTCTTCTTTCTCTCTTTTCTCTTCTCTTTTCTTCTTTTTTTCCTTCTCTTTTCTCTTCTCTTCTTTTTTCTCTTCTCTTCTCCTTTTTTCTCTTCTTTTCTTTTCTCATATCTTCTCTTCTTTTATCTTCCTCTTCTTTTTCTCTTCTCCTCTTTTCTTCTTTTCTGTTCTCTTTTCTTCTTTTTTCCTTTTTCTCTTTTCTTTCTTTTCTCTTTCTTCTCTCCCCCTTTTCCTCATCTCTTTTTCTCTTCTGTTCTCTTTTACTCTTCTCATCTCTTCTTCATGTATATTCTCTATTTTCTCACCACTTTTCTTCTCCTTTTTTCTCTCTTTTTTCTTTCTCTTTTTTTCCTTTTTCTTTTCTGTTCCGTTTTCTTCTCTTCTCATCTGTTCTTGTTTCTCGCCACTTCTCTTCTCCTTATTCCTCTTCTTTTAATTTCTCTTTTCTTCTCTTCTCTTCTCTTCTCTTCTCTTATCTTCATTTTTCTCCTTTTTCTCTTCTCTTCTCTTCTTATCTTTTCTTTTCTCTTATTTTTTTATCTTTTCTCTTATTTTTTATCTTTTCTCTTCTCCTTTTGTCTCTTCTCTTCTCTTCTCTTCTATTTGTCTTCTCTTCTCTTCTGTTTGTCTTCTCTTCTCTTCTCTTCTCTTCTCTTCTCTTCTTCTCTTCTATTTGTCTTCTCTTCTCTTCTGTTTGTCTTCTCTTCTCTTCTATTTGTCTTCTCTTCTCTTCTCTTCTCTTCTCTTCTCTTCTTCTCCATAGTCTCTTTTCTGCCCTGCTCTGTTCTCCTCTTTATTAGAGGGCTGGCTCTGTTTCATTTCCGCTCCAGTGGTGCGGTGAGTTAAAGGGGATTGTGAATGCAGGCTGTGATAAGGCTTTTATTCCAGATCCATAGCCGCTCTGGAGCTTTCCTAAATCTGCTTTAGAATGGAGTGTGAAACGACTCAGACGTGCCTGTTCCTGGCAGGGCTGCGCTCTCTGCTCACTGTTCATGAAGTCCTTCTTCAGTGGGCTGCAGATTTCACTTGGCTGACTAGGTTCAGAGTGAGTGTCGTTTTGTGGATTATGTTATGGTTATTAGTTCTTATTAGATGTCTTATACGGAGATGATACAGTGATGGATGTGTGCTGTGCTACAGATGATAAGAACAAAACTGATATTTAATACCAGATATCAGTAACATGTCTGTAATTATGTAATAACTAGTGTTAAAATGGCATCAGTACCGGCATATATATACACTCACCAAGCACTTTATTAAGAACGCCTCCTTGTTTCTACACTCATTGTCCATTTTGTCAGCTCCACTGACCATATAGGAGCACTTTGTAGTTCTACAGTTACAGACTGTAGTCCACCTGTAGTCCAGACAGAGCAGTGCTGCTGGAGGACACCTCAGTGTGCCTGCTGGACTGAGAATAGTCCACTAACCAAAAATATCCAGCCAACAGCGTCCTGTGACCAACACAAACTGTGCAGTGACAGATGAGCTATCATCTCTGACTTTACTTCTACAAGGAGGACCAAGAAGATAGGTGTGTCTAATAAAGTGGACAGTGAGTGGACACTCCAGCAGCACTGCTGTGTCTGATCCACTCAGACCAGCACAGCACACACCAACACGCCACCACCACGTCAGTGTTACTGCAGTGCTGAGAATCATCCACCACCCAAATAGTACCTGCTCTGTGAGGGTCCTATGGGGGTCCTGACCACTGAAGAACAGGGTAACAAAGTACACAGAGAAACAGATGGACTACAGTCTGTAATTGAAGAACTACAAAGTGCTCCTGTAAGGTCAGTGGAGCTGCAGATGGACAGTAAGTGTAGACATAAGGACGTGTAAGTATATGTCTTTAGGACTAAGTGTTATCTTAAGTATCCCTATTAATCACATAATTTAATAAATAGTTAAATAGATTTTAAAATGTGTAACAACTGTTTTGTTTCTAGGTGTTTTTCCCCAGTTTAGTGGTGGAGATATATTTGCACAGCCCTCCATCCATCTCTCTAACCGTCTGTCTATCTGTCCACTCTTCTGTCTGCACCTCTTTAACACACTCTCTCTCTCCAGTGTATTGTGTGGGAATGAGGCTCGGCCTGTTAGCAGCCTGTAATGGAGTCTTTATTTGCTTTGAGCTGCTGATTAAAGGATGATTAAAAGATGAACGCTCTTGTTCTGCTCCCGCTCCCTGTATAATCCCTCTCTTTTTCCCCTTTAATGAAGCTTTAAATGGCCCATATCAGGGAGAACCAACTTTTCCTTGCTTTTTCGAAATATAAGAGTTTTTCGTAGTAAGAAAATGCTGAAAATGTGCCGTTTGCTTCTCAGTCTATATAGCTAAATACAAAAATGGCCCAAAATCATTGCTTTTCTGGTGCCACAGAAGCCGACCCATTTACACATATCCAACAAGTCAGCCTACAGCAGTTTACCCTCCCCATACACTTTAGTTATAAGAAGTGATTCAGCCTGGACTGCTGTTTGGATCAGGCACAATGCAAGACAGCCAATCAGAACAGAGCTCATTTACATACATCAGTCTTGAAGGCACAGTATCGAAAACAGGCTATTTAATTCTATGGGATGAAGACAGGTTGAAAAATGGTCATTTAGAAGTGAATAATGGTTTTGATACATTAAAAAAGACCTGTCCAGGGTGTTTCCTGCCTTCTGCCCAGTGACCGCTGGGATAGGCTCCAGCCTATCCCATATATACATATATATATATATATATATATATATATAAATATCCCATATATGTTAATAATATAAGTTACATTAAAAGTGAAGTATGTTTTTTCCTTCTCCTGTAAAGTTACTATCTTGGCGATATAAAGTTTTGATCCGACAGCAGCGATATATATATATATATATATATATGTGACCGGCGTTTACTTACTTTAGCCGTCAGAATCGCCTCAGCATTTTTGAGCGCTGATCTACTTCCTGAAAGAGTGGAAACAGCTTACCGAACACAGATAACTCAATAGCTAGCTATCTAGCAAGTAACAGAAAAGTCAAGCTACTTGGTTATTAGTTAGCATCTTTGTTAGCCAGCTGGCTACTCAAAACAACAGCCTGAGGCTTCAGAATTTGCTAGCATGCATGCTAATGGATTGGTGTTCTGAAAACTGTAAAATGGTCACTGACGGACCTAAATTGCAAACTATAGTTGTGCAGTTTTGTGACAAGAAAATGAATAAAATACCACAGCAAGTCAGAATAACTTACGTTTAAAGATGACTTCGCCGCTTGCTGGGCTGCTGGCCGCACCGCTTCCGCCAGCCATCTTCAAACAAAAGGTACGCCGCGTTGCATCGTGGCAGTGCCTTAGCAGCTGAGGAAACATGAGACGCTCTCCTGATATTCAGCCTATATAAGATACCTCAGTAGGCAGCATATTTGAGGTATCTGAGAATTGAGACAGCCTTCTTGTCGGGAGCGCGCATATTATGAAATAACATGCTGTCTATTGAAAGCTCACTAGGTTTTGAGACAAACCCATCAATATGGCTTTGCATTTAGAATTAGTTTGCCATGCATGGTTCTCTGGAGTGAAACACAGACATACAATGTACATGAAATGATCAGATCTAAATAAATCTTCAGAATTGTGTACAGTGGTGGTGATAGGAACCAGACGTCCACCCTTAAAAGCTCCCTCACAAGAAGTGATTACACAAAGTGCTTATGAATATGCTGCCTGATGGCTGAGACATCGTTTTATGCTTTATTCATTTATTGATAGCAGTTTTTATTCTATCCACACTCATAATGTAACACACCTATAGCATTCTCACATATGGCTTCTGAACTTTTGACCTGTAGTGCAGGTTACAAAGAGAGCGATGTGCACTGGGCTGGACTGCTAACAGAGGTCAAGCAGTGGACACTTATGTGTTCTTGGTGATCAAAGCTGCTTTGTGTACTTCCTCAGCCCTGCCTGCCTAAACAGGAAGCCGTATGCGATGTAATTTCCTGGCACTGCCCTTAAGAAGCACTTTTAGCTGAATTCCCATTAGATCCTCCTCCTCCTGCAGCAACACAGCCAAATGTACCAAATTTGTTCACGGTCAGAGTTGAAAACACAAAAACACATTTGGGATTTTAGACTAAAATCCTTTTGCTTTGAGTGACCCTATGCATTAATTATGTTCATTAGGAAATTATATTTTATTATATTTATTTAATATGTAATATTTTATTAGAATAAATGATTGCTGTTGAGTTTTTAAACACTGTGTCCACTCACTGTCCACTCTATTAGACACTCCTACCTTGTCAGTCCACCTTGTAGATGTAAAGTCAGAGACGATAGCTCATCTGCTGCTGTACAGTTTGTGTTGGTCATCCTCTAGTCGTTCATCAGTGGTCACAGGACGGTGCCCACAGGACGCTGCCCACAGGACGCTGTTGGCTGGATATTTTTGGTTGGTGGACTATTCTCAGTCCAGCAGTGACACTGAGGTGTTTAAAAACTCCAGCAGCACTGCTGTGTCTGATCCACTCAGACCAGCATAACACACACCACCACACCACCACCACGTCAGTGTTACTGCAGTGCTGAGAATGATCCACCACCCAAATAGTACCTGCTCTGTGAGGGTCCATGGGGGTCCTGTCCACTGAAAAACAGGGTAAAAGGGGGCTAACAAAGTATGCAGAGAAACAGATGGATTACAGTCTGTAACTGTAGAACTACAAAGTGCACCTATATAGTAAGTGGAGCTGATTAAATGGACAATGAGCGTAGAAACAAGGAGGTGGTCATGATGTTATGCCTGATTGGTGTACATATATGTATATGTATATATATGTATATATACAGACATTTTAGGTGTATATTTTATAATTTGTATATTGCTGTTTTACTTGTTTGATGGCCGTAGTGATGCTATGAGAGGTGTTATTTTTTAGCCTCCCTCGTTCAATTTTGTGACCGGCCATCACTGCCGCATAGAGAACCCCAAGACAGAGTGTTATTGTCAAAACTGTGTGTGTGTGTGCACTAAAGAAAGAGATGAAGAGTGACAGACTGAGAGAGAGATGCTGAAAGCAGACAGTGATGAAGGGAGAGAGAGATTGATGGAGAAAGAAGGATGTGTGTATGGCGTAATGGAGTGAATCTGTTCGCAGGCAGCACTTCGTCACTGCATCTCTCTTTCTCTCTCTCTCTTTTCATATTCTGCTCTGTCTTTCTCTTCTTGTTTCTCTCTTCCTTGTGGTTCTTTTTCCTTCCTTCTCGCTCTCTATCTCTCTCTTTCATTGACTCAGTCCTTCCTAGGCTTGAGCAGATGGAGGATAGTTTTGCGAATCTCCATTTGTCTTGTGATGTTTTTCTTTTAATGTGTCGTCCATGTCCTGAATCCTTTTTTTTTAAGTTGGCACAGTTACCACAGCAACATCATAGCAACTAGCTGGAGTGCCATAGCAACTAGCTGGAGTGCCATAGCAACCACCTGGCAACAACCTAGCAACCAGCTGGAATACCACATCATCCCAACACCCAATACAAAAAAACAAACAATGAAAAAAACCCTTTAACTTTAAATAACCCCAAAACAACCACATAAACACAGCATGAACAACTCACTGCCTTCAACAATTCAGTGCTACATGAACCAGCATTATTAGCTGACTTTGTCTGGCAAACTTAGTTTGTTTACAAACTTTCCTTTCTAGGTTTTTACTGTAGTCGTGCTTGTTAACGAAAGGTTGCAGTAACAGTAGCCTTCACGTTACTTCACATGGTAAGTTTTAGCTGTTTTATTATTTTAACAAGAAGCAATTTATAGAATGAAAATGCATGATTTATTAACTCTATAACAAGAACTACCAAACCATAGCAAAAACTACCAAATCATACCAAGAACAACAAAACCATAACACGGACAACCAAACCATACCAAGAACCATCAATCTATATCAAGAACTACCAAACCATTACCAAAACCTACCAAACTATACCAAGAACTACTAATCCATACCAAGGACAACCAAACCATACCAAGAACCATCAAACTATATCAGGAACTACCAAACCGTTACCAAAACCTACCAAACTATACCAAGAACTACCAATCCATACCAAGGACAACCAAACCATACCAAGAACCATCAAACTATATCAGGAACTACCAAACCATTACCAAAACCTACCAAACTATACCAAGAACTGCCAAACCATACTAAAAACTACCAAACAATACCAAAAACTACCGAACCGTACCAAGAACCATGAAACTGTGCCAAGAACTACCAACCCATACCAAAAACCATCAAACTATACCAAGAACTACCAAATAATACCAAAAACTACCAAACCATACCAAGACCCATCAAACTGTACCAAGAACTACTAAATCATACCAAAGACCACCAAACAATACCAAGAACTACCAACCCATACCAAGAACCATCAAACTATACCAAGAACTACCAAATATACCAAGTGCTATTAAACAATTCCAAGAACTACCAAACCATACCAACAAATACCAAACATGCCAAGAGCTATCAAACTATAGGAAGAACTACCAAACCATACCGAAAACAACGGAAATGTACCGAAAACTACAAAACTATACCAAGAACAGCGAAAATGTACCAAAAACTAACAACTATACCAAGAACAACCAAAGCATACCAAGAACCAACAAACAATACCAAAAACTACCAAACCATACCAAGACCCATCAAACTGTACCAAGAACTACCAAACCATACCAAAAACTACCAAACCATACCAAGACCCATCAAACTGTACCAAGAACTACCAAACCATACCAAAAACTACCAAACCATATAAAGACCCATCAAACTGTACCAAGAACTACCAAACCATACCAAAAACTACCAAACCCTATAAAGACCCATCAAACTATACCAAGAACTACCAAACTATTTCAAGAGCTATTAAACTATACCAAGAACAACCAAACCATAGCGAGAATCAACAAACTGTACCAAAAACTACCGAATCATACCAAGAGCTGTCAAACTATTCCAAGAACTACTAAGTCATACCTAGAGGTGGGTAATCCAGGTCCAAAAAGTAAAAACCCTCCCCAGGATTTTCTTCCAGCTGCCTGAACACCTTTGCTGCTGGTTTGAGCAAATTAGAGAAGTCAAGCAGTTGGAACAAAATCCTGGGGAGGGTTTTTACTTTTTGGACCTGGATTACCCACCTCTAGTCATACCAGGGAACCTCTCTTTCTGTCTCTTATTGTCTTACTCTTTATTTTCTCTGCCCCTCCCCACCTCCCTTTCCCTTTCTCTCTCTCTCTCCCACATTTTCTCAGTGTCCTCTAATTCTCCTCTCAAAGCCAAGCCTGCATCACTAATATCTCTCTCTCCCTTTCTCTCTCTCTGCAGATGAGTGTAAGCTAGCTGGCTGAACAGAAGACCCCCGAATCCCACCTGCAGACATGAATGGTAAGAACACTGGTCTCTGTGTGTCTGTCTGGGGCATCTGTCCACTGACCCTCTTATCAAACCAACTGCAGCACTGCAGCATCTCTCTCTCTCTCTCTCTCTCTCTCTCTCTCTCTCTCTCTCTCCCTCTCTCTCTCTCTCTCTCTGTTGTGCATTGTTGTTAAAGCACTACAGTAGAGGTCCTATTCATCAAGGCTGTGCTGTGTTTCAACCCTTCATAATTTTAGCTGCTCTACATTAGAACTGCAGAGCCCATTTCAGGCCCAGAGCACCTGACAGGGCTGAACAATCTGGAGAAAATATCTAATAGTTTTCCCACAGATGATGTCACTGCAATTTAAATTGCTATTATGTTCTATAAATTAAGGTTTTGGCTAAAGACATTGAGGCTTAAACACTGAACACTGTTCCAAACTGCCAGTTAGTTGTGATAGTGTTGGTCACTTAAACAGCACATGGGGGATCGGCTGCTTCTGACTGGTCTGACTCCAGTTTACCAGCTGTGTGTTACTGGGTTAAATTTCCACACTTATAACATATTGCAGCTCTTGTGTTTTGAAAACTGCACTCTTACATTGTGATTTCAATATAAAACAATTGATCTTTCAGCTCTACATACTGACCTCTGACCTCTGTGGTCCTCACCAAACACCTACATTCTGACATGGACAGTTGACTAGATAGTACAACATTATAGAACAGTGCAAATGAGGAGAACATTCTAGAAGAGTATGAATGAGGAGAACATTCTAGCAGAGTATGAATGAGGAGAACACTCTAGAATAGTGTGAATGGGAAGAACATTCTAGAACACTATGATTGAGGAAAACATTCAAAAACACTATGATTGAGTAGAACATTCTAGAACACTATGAATTAGGTGAACAGTCTAGAACAATGTAAAAAGAGTGGGCATACTAGAACAGTGTGAGTGGAGTGAACATTCTAGAACTGTGTGCATTGCCAACAATCCAGAACTGTAGATGTGAGGGAGTATTCTAGAACAGTGTGAATGGAGAGAGCATTCTAAAACAGTTTGAGTAAAGAGAACATTTTTAAACTATGAATGGGGAGAAAATCTAGAACAGTGTGAATGGGGAGAACTGACCTCTGACCTCTACAGTCCTCACCAAATTCTAATGTGGACAGTTGACTAGATAATAAAACATAGAACAGTGTGAACGGGGAGAACAATCTAGAACAATGTTAAAAGAGTGGACATTGTAGAACACTGTAAGTGTAGTGAACATTCTAGAACAGTGTGAGTGTAGTGAACATTCTAGAACAGTGTGAGTGGAGTGAACATTCTAGAAGAGTGTGCATTGTCAGCATTCCAGAACAGTGTGAATGGGAAGAACATTCTAGAACAGTGTGAATGGGAAGAACATTCTAGAATAGTGTGAATGAGGGAGAACATTTTAGAACAGTGAATGGGGAGGATATTCTAGAACAGTGTGAATGAGGGAGAACATTCTAGAAAAGTGAATGGGGAGAATATTCTAGAACAGTGTGAATGAGGGAGAACATTTTAGAACAGTGAATGGGGAGAATATTCTAGAACAGTGTGAATGGGGCAGAACATTCTAGAATAGTAAGAATTTTCTAGCACAGTGAGAATGGTGGAGAACTTTCTAAAACAGTGTGAATGGGGAGAACGTTCTAGAACAGTGAGGATAGGGGAAAACATTCTAGAATAGTGAGAATTTTCTAGAACAATGTGAATGATGGGGAACATTCTAGAACAGTGTGAATGTCGGAGAACATTCTAGAACAGTATGAATGAACTTTCCACGCAACGTCTCCACCTGTTTCAATGAGCTACGGGTGAAGACTAATTAAACTACGTGTAAGAGGAGGTGTTTCTGAGTCATTAGGAGAACCTAAGAGGGTTAACAGGTCGAGTAATGAGCTAATTAGATGAATCAGGTTGTGTTAGATGAACACCTGACACAGTCGCTGTAAACCAGGTTCAGTTTAATGTGCTGTGAATGCAGCAAAAATGCTGACTCTGGTCTTTCCACTGTTTGCTAATTGCAGGTGCCAACACTGCAGCTTTACCTAATATGTTGTAGATCTGTTTGTGGAACCATAGCCAAGCAGGTGGTCCTTCTAATCTAATCTAACACACCTAATTCAACTCATCAGCTAATTACCACCCCGTCAAAGAGCCGGCTGAACGGGGATGAGGTTCCTCTGGCACTGGGACGTGTACCCTCTTTCTGCGATGCTGTACGGATGTGAAGAGCAGACGCAGAAAGAGGGCCTTTATGTAGAGCGTAGTTGCCAAAACATTACTTTGAGGAATGTTATTTGAACGTTAGTGTCTCGGGGGAAGAAGAACGTCAGCAGCCGGCTGTGCCGCACTGAGATCCAAAATACTGTCAGTCTTCGGGAAAGGAAAACACTCCAATGTCTGAGCCTTTCTGTGAGAGCTAGTGTGCATCTTTTGGCACAACATTGATGCTGGACTGAGATAAGAAATGAAAACAAACAAAAAAAGGACTAATGTTTAAGTTTCGAGTAAGTAGGTATTAGAGAATTCACAGGTTAGAGGTTTTAACCCCACTGCAGAGAGCACGGATGTTTTGATGTGAGGGTGGAGTAACGTTCTTCAGAATCTGTGAGGGCTAGGCTTAAACCAACATTAGTCAGGTCAGCGTAATACCACTGTAATGCCACAGTTAGGCCACCATTAGGCCAGCACACTCAGTTGCAAAACAACAAATGGACACAAAGAAGCTTTATACAAATCCAGGTCCAAGACCATAATGAGTGGCAAGGGAAAACTTTATATACATGATAATATAAAAATTAGAGCAATGTTAGGCCACTGCTTATCTGACATTAGGTTACCTGTATGGCAGCGTTAGGCCACTGCTTATCTGACATTAGGTCACCTGTATGGCAGCGTTAGGCCACTGCTTATCTGACATTAGGTCACCTGTATGGCAGCGTTAGGCCACTGCTTATCTGACATTAGGTCACCTGTATGGCAGCGTTAGGCCACTGCTTATCTGACATTAGGTCACCTGTATGGCAGCGTTAGGCCACTGCTTATCTGACATTAGGTCACCTGTATGGCAGCGTTAGGCCACTGCTTATCTGACATTAGGTCACCTGTATGGCAGCGTTAGGCCACTGCTTATCTGACATTAGGTCACCTGTATGGCAGCGTTAGGCCACTGCTAATCTGACATTAGGTCACCTGTATGGCAGCGTTAGGCCACTGCTAATCTGACATTAGGTCACCTGTATGGCAGCATTAGGCCACTGCTAATCTGACATTAGGTCACCTGTATGGCAGCGTTAGGCCACTGCTAATCTGACATTAGGTCAGTGTTACGGCAGCGTTTGGTCACTGCTTATCTGACATTAGGTCAGTGTTATGGCAGCGTTTGGCCACTGCTTATCTGACATTAGGTCACCTGTATGACAGCGTTAGGCCACTGCTTATCTGACGTTAGGTCACCTGTATGACAGCGTTAGGCCACTGCTACTCTGACATTAGGTCAGTGTTACAGCAGCGTTTGGTCACTGCTTATCTGACATTAGGTCAGTGTTATGGCAGTGTTTGGTCACTGCTTATCTGACATTAGGCCAGTGTTGTGGTAGTGGTAGGTCATTGCTTATCTGACATTAGGCCAGTGTTATTAGAGTGTTAGGCCACTGCTTATCTGGCATTAGATCACCTGTATGGCAGTGTTAGGCCACTGCTTATCTGATGTTAGGTCATTGCTATTACAGTGTTAGGCCACTGCTTATCTAGCATTAGGTCGCATGGCAGAGTTAGGCCACTGCTTATCTGACATTAGGTCAATGTTATGGCAGTGTTAAACCTCTACTAGCCTAACATCAGGTCAACCTTATGGCAGTGTTCGGCCACTGCTTATGTGACGTTAGGTCAGCAATATTGCAGTATTTGGCTACTGCTAGTCTGACTTAAGGTCAGAGCTGTGGCAGTGTTATGCTTCTACTAGCCTAACATTAGGTCAACGTTATGGCAGTGTTAGACTACTACTAGGCTGACATCAGGCCAACATTAGGCAAGCAATAGGCCAGTACTAGGCTGACATCAGGCCAACAGTAGGCAAGTGTTGGACTATTACTAGGCAGACATCAGGCCAACAATAGGCAAGCATTAGGCCACTACAAGGCTGACATCAGGCCAACATTAAGCAGGCATTAGGCTACTACTAGGCTGACAACAGTCTAACATTAAGCAGGCATTAGGCTACTACTAAGCTATGTCAGCATTATGTCTGTGTTAGGCGACTAGTTGGCTGACATTAGGCCAGCATAATGACAGTATTAGACTACTACTAGTGTGACATTAGGTCAGTGTTGTGGCTGTATTAGACTACTACTAGTGTGACATTAGGTCAGTGTTGTGGCTGTATTAGACTACTACTAGGCTGACATCAGGCCAACATTAGGCAAGTGTTGGACTACTACTAGGTTGACATCAGGCCAACATAAGGCAAGCATTAGGCCAGTACAAGGCTGACATCAGGCCAACAGTAGGCAAGTGTTGGACTACTACTAGGCTGACATCAGGCCAACATTAGGCAAGCATTAGGCCACTACTAGGCTGACATCAGGCCAACATTAGGCAAGCATTAGGCCGGTACAAGGCTGACATCATGCCAACAGTAGGCAAGCAAAAGCCACTACAAGGCTGACATCACGCCAACATTAGGGAAGCATTAGTCCACTACTATGCTGAGATCAGGCCAACATTAGGCAAGTGTTGGACTACTACTAGGCTGACATCAGGCCAACATTAGGCAAGCATTAGGCCAGTACTAGGCTGACATCACGCCAACATTAGGCAAGTGTTGGACTATTACTAGTCTGAGATCAGGCCAACATTAGGCAAGTGTTGGACTATTACTAGGCTGACATCAGGCCAACAGTAGGCAAGCAATAGGATACTACTAGGCTGACATCAGGCCAACATTAGGCAGGGATTAGACTACTACATGGCTGACAGCAAGTAGATA